ATTAAGGGCATTCCACAATACTGACAGCTGGAGATCACAAAGACTCTACTAAAATTTGCCTTAAAAAAAAAAAAAAAAGCCCATTAACTTTTAAGTGAAGCAAGGAAATACATTACCTTGGAAAACAGAAAGGAACCTACTCCAAAACACCTTTAAAGTGTCTATTATTTATAATTAGTTATAACCACATTTACATTCATTTCTGGACACAGGCATGTTACCTTGGATTTAAATGGATTGGTTTTCCAAAGTTGTTCAACCAATTTTCTCTATTAGCAGCATATAAGATTTCCAGTTGTTCCACACCTTGGCCATCATGTAGCTATCATCCATCTTTATATTTTTCGCCATTTTGATAGTCATGTAGTGGTATTTAATTATAGCTAATTCATTTTCACATATTTATTGGCCATTACAATACTTTTTGTATGAAGTTCAACTCTCATCCAGCTTTCTATTAGGTTGTCTATCACATTTATTTGTAGGTGTTCTTTGTATGTTCTGCATTCAAGTCCCCTGTCAGTTTTATGTGTTTCAAGTACCTTCCCCCACCCTGTGACTTGCCTTTTTACATTCATGTTCTTTCAGTGAAGCAAAACTATAAATGTAAAATAGGAAATGAAATAAAATTTGGAATTTCTTATCAAGCACTATTCAATGAAGAAAAATGTGCATTTTTTCCCATTCTGTTTAATGTGATAGTTACAAAAAAAAGAGAAATCTTCAGTTACTCAGTATCTCAGTACCCTTAAGGAAAAATGGCTCCCTCCCACATGTCAATAAATAACTAACCACATGACCTAAAACTTCTTAGTTTGCAATTCAGCAAGGTAAAATGATTTAACAATAAGGAACAGGCAGGTAAACACAACAAAATTCTTTGAAATTCTGTTCTACAGAAAAACTATTTCTCAAAAAAGCATGGTCATCAAACAGTAGTTTTTTTATTTCAATTTTAATGAAGACACAGGGGTTCTTAAACTTTTTACCTAAGTTTCAAAATACAGCATCCAAGAATATATTTAGGATAACATCAAAACATAGTCTTAAACAGAACAACCTACGTTAAAACTATGGGAAGTGGTGTAGTCCTACTAAGAAATGTATGAAGCTAAATCTAATCCTAAGGGAGAGTCAAACACAAAACTAGAGGAAATTCTGAAAAATAATTGGCCTGTAATGTTCAAAATCACCAAGGTCATGAAAGTCAGGGAAAGACTGAAGAACTGTTTCAGACTGAGGGAGATTAAAAGACATGACAGTGAAATGCAGTATTAATTCTGAGGATTAGATAGTAACAATTCATCAGTATTAGTTCCCCGAGTTTTATGGTTGTGTTGTAGAGACTGACCTTGTTTGCTGAAAAAAACACAATTTTGGAAACTGCACAGGAGAAAAATTTCTTGTACTGTACTTTCAATTTTTCTGCAAGCTAGGAATTGTTCCCCCCAAAATTAAGAAGTTCAAAGCTTGGATGGGGGGCTTTTTTATGAATAAACAAGTGGGTTTATTCATAAACTAGATTTAGGGCTTCTCACATTCCAAATTCTGGTCAACTACTAGAAAGTAACACCAATTTTTAGGTACAGAAATTTCACTTAATGCCTCCAAGATTTAAAACCAGTTAATTCACTGCCAGAAACTCCAAACTGGACTTCACCAGTATACGCTTTTGTTACTAAGTAAGACCAGTGCAGAAATTTTGTTACTAAGTAGGGCCAGTGCTGATTCCTCATATGGAATCACACAAGACTTCGTAATTTTCTTATTTTGATTACCATTCAATGTGCCTTGTGCTATATTTACTTACGCACATGAACAAAAAACTGGGTGCTACATTCTGAATTTGGAAGGTAGATATCAATCTTGCTCATTTCATTTACAATATTTACTCAAAAGCCATTTGCCATACATTACACTGTAAATTAGAACACAAAAATAACTCCCTTTGATCTTAAATTCCCATAAAATGAAATATGAACACATACAAGATACGAAGATAAAGTTGTTAAGTGGAAGAAAATAGTGGCAGATTCCCCCTCTAGAAAAACAAAAATATCACAAAACATTACTTGGGCCCCAAATTTTTTTCTTCATATTAACCCGTCCAATTTAAAAGGTTTTTAAACTAATAAATTAGCTTCAAATAGAATGTTAAGCTATAAATAATTGTGGAATTATGCCAAATAAGCAAATGGACTGTTCAACATCTCAACCTGGTATCTAGGACTAATTAGGATGGATAGAACTCTAAAATGGTTTCAACGTGAGGAAACCTATTAGTAGGATTAGATCTGAACAATATGCCGGGACCCAGATGATTCCACATTCAGCCCAATCTCCTATAATATAGGACTGCTTTAAGAAAGTTGACATTAAGGCAAAAAAAGAGAGGACTCAATACACCTCAAGACCTCAGAGGCTACAAAAATAAAAGGTGTAAATTCAGACTGAAATAGATTGCAAAGCTTCTAAACTAGTATTTCAGTTTAAATTTAGAGTAAGGCCCACACCTCTTCATCCCATACTTAAATCAACAAATTTAGATGCTCACAAGTAAAGTATAAATGGAGTCCAAAAGAAAAAACCACAATTGCCTATAGGTTAATAAGATAAATGGTTACTTTTTGGAAATGCCTGACATTTCCCACAAATTAACTTGCAGTTCTTTAAACAGTCCTCATCACTCCAGTGCAAATTACATTGTTCTTAGATACTTTTCAACTTTTTTTCAGTGTCACCTACTCTCTAGGAGTAGAACAGAATATTGTATCCACTCAGTTAAGAATTTACTCACTCCTTCCTGTGGTATATGTCTATTTTACCTGGAATTTTAGGAACAGCGCACTTGTAGGCTGTTTGCTCTAATAAGTAGATAGACACGAGACAAGCATTCAAATATTTTAACTGCAACATGTGGAGTATCAAGGTATTCCATAGAGAAAATGCTTAAAACCTAGGACTCAATTCTTAGTCCTGAAAATTATCTAACAACATCTTGTGGTTTCTGTTGAAAAGCAAGGAATTTGCAAAAACGGTATTCTTTTCAACTATTGTTAACAATAGTTAACTACAGTAACTAATTTTAGGTGGTCTCAAAATTTTACATTTACACCACCAGCAAAAATCTTCAGAGTATGTAGAAAACTGGTTGGGGGTGGTGCAGGGAATGACTGAGAAACTTCTTAAGAAGAAAAAATTATTATACCATTTACAATGTTGTTAGTTTAACTACCTTCCTTAGAACAAATTTATTTGAAGGAATTATTCTTTCAAATATTTGGCAATCATGGGTTCACGTTTCCTATAAAAATATTACTAAAATAAATTAGTGTTTAGGGTAGTACCTGTTGGGGAGACACATTGCGCTGTCGCTACCTGTCACCACGAGGCGCAGTTTGTCGTAACGTCACCTCTTTTAAAATCCCCACCAGTGGTACTGATTTTTAAAATATCTAGGGAAGAGTTCCCTTTCTCCCTAATGCTCTTCCCGAGGGATTGCACATCCACTCCGATATGCAGAATACTAATCTCTACAGTACGGTAAATACCGACACGTATTCACCTGTATCCCTAAACAGACTGTACTTAGACTGTTTCCTAGCATCTGGCGCAATGCCTGTTTGTTCAATTAACTACGTGCATATAACTAAGTACTCTAGATTTCAGGATAACAAGAGTAGATCATAGTAACATGCCAGTCCGCAAAAAAATGTTTTAAGTGTTTGGAGTTATGACAGAGACTCTACCGAGGTATATGTAGTAAATGATTCCCCCCAAATTCTACGCAGTTAGAATCGTTAAAACTTTAAGGGTAACCAAGTAGTTACTTTTATACTAACTCTTTAAATAATAAGTTACTACGGCACTATTTAAAGACAGTGCGTAAAGGAGCTGCCATGTGTCACTACGACCTAAGCAGGACACCAGAGATTTCAAGAAAAACTCCAAGCAAAAGCGAAGCTTTCACCCCTCCCCCTCACGTCTACAGGGCGCAAGTCCCCGCAATCGCCTATTTTAGTATTTCGCCCGAGACACACCCCTGGAGAGTTCACGGAGCAGGAAACGGAGCTCGCCGCCCTCCCTGCCTCTTTACTATCCAAGCTTTCCGATACTCCATTAGCCCTTGGAAATCGCCTCCCTTTCCTGGACAAGGGGCGATGCTCAAAGGGGCAGCGACTGCGCGGGCCTCCCCGCAGTGCTTCCCCGCTCCTCCGCCCCGCGCCAGCTCGGGCCCAGCTTCCCCTCCAGCCGTCCCTCTAACCGCCCCCAAGGTCCTCAGGCCCGGGCTCACCTCTCCACCCACTCCCTCAGGAAGCGCATTTCCTCCGTGTGCAGAACGCTCGGGTCCTGCTTACACATTTTCACGAAGGCCCGAAGCTCGCTCACTTTGCGGGGGTCCATGGTCCGGAGGCGGCGCGGGGCGGGGGATGCGGCTGAGGCAGCGGCCCAATTCCAGGCCTGGGTGCTGGCTCAGCGTGATCGTGTGGAAGGGGGCGGCTGCCGCGAGGCAGAACAGACTAGAACCTCCCCGCCCGCTGGCCACGCCCACCCAGCCGTCTCGTGACCCTGGGTCCTTCGCCCGTTAATTCCTACTCTCGCTACCCCTGCCTCTGCGCACTGACTAGAATCTTCTAGAAATATGGCTGTTTGTGCCGTTGCCTGCCCCTCCCCGCACGCACTCATACATTCTAAGCCAGTTCTCATGATGGCTCAACCCCCTAAATGGTGCTTTCAGGGAGGCCTGAGCTATCAGCCCCTCATTCTAAGCCAGTTCTCATGATGGCTCAACCCCCTAAATGGTGCTTTCAGGGAGGCCTGAGCTATCAGCCCCTGCAAGAGGTCGTTCAGAGTCGGCCATTCTGCAAATGTGGGCATTAAGCGGAGCACTACGTCATGACTCCAACAGGGCCCTCCGGCGGAGAGACGGTCACATCTCTGGGCGTGACGTCATCATCCCGCGACGTCGAGAGAAGGCCCCTAGAGAGAGGGGAGGGGCTCTTGGCTGGGGTTCCTGGAGACGCCGCACTGTTCGCTGCAGCTTCTGCTGTTTTCCTACTTTTTATCCGGACGGGTGAGCTGGGTCGTAATGCGTTGGTTACTCTCAGCAACTAAGCTGGTTCCCGCCGTAGCGACCGCCCGCAGCTTCTCAGGTTAGACTCACCTCCCACGTTGTGGCCTCTGGGTCTTGCTTTCTGAGAAGACTGAGGCACCCCAGAGGAATCCACGTTTCAGGCGATCCCTGGCTCTGCGGACCCTTGGCTTCCACTCCCAACCCCTCTGTGCGCTCCTCGGATTTCTTCCTGATTTGCTGCTCTTGGAGAAGGGTGGGCCCTGTGTTCTCCCTGCTGTTGAGGTATTCTGGGAAGCCGAAAAGACTGCAGAGAGAAGTGTGTCTTCCCGCAGAGGGGCTGCCTACAAAGTTACTCGGACTCAGAAGTTGTGTCAGTATAACACTTGCTTAGGTGACAAAGTGTCTCACATCAAGTAACTCTTGTTAGGTTAACCTAAAATTCTATTTTCGTGTTTTCAAAGAGTTGACTTGAGAGCTGGCCCCTGAATATACAAGAAACATGTTTAGTAACACAAATCCCTTGAGCAGTTCCTCTCAGAAGAGGTAATGTTTGGAAATGTTCCCGAGGCCTTTTATATCTGGAAGCCCTGTTTGTAAAAGAAAGATGAAGGAGCCCAGATAAGGGGGATCATTTTTTTAGGGTGTACTCCATCGTGACCAAGTAATCTGATAAACGTATAAAGCATGATCATCTATCTTGCAGATGGAACTGCCTTGGATATTTCAGTTGGGGGTCTGATATGTGAACAATATGTAAATCAGAGCATGTGCTATTTGACATCAAAGCTATGTTTTGGCATGTGCTTCTTATGTTGATATACTCGAATTTATTGAAAACGGTATAGTAATTATATCAAGACTTACTCCTTACTCTAAAAAAATGAAAATGTCCAATGCACAAAACTTGCTCTTTGGTTCTAATAGTTGAATTGCAGAAAGCTGTCCCACCCCATGGGAGTAGATGAATAGTTGTGCAATGAGTCTTAATCACAGAGGCCGCAACCTATGAATTAGAACTGGAACCATCCTTTGCTTGTTACTTTTGGATTTGTTGAGGCTTTGTGTAAAACCAGATTTAATCAGGTACTGATTATTATAGATACTGGATTACTACATGCAAGATTTTTGAAAAATACATTCATTATACTTCATTAGTCTAAATGGAATAAATAAGCTTAACCATCTCTTACATTAACAGTGATTATGTCTATATATATATAGGCCCTTTTTGAATGAGTGATCTCAGATCTTCACAAATCCAAGAAGTTAGGGCAGATATCTTCGTTTTACTGATGAGGAACTGAAACTAACAATGGATTACTAGTAGTAAGTCAGGAATTTTAGTTACATGATTGCCCTCTAATTCTTTTGCTGTTATACTGTCACTAGATCTTACTCTGGTTTAGTAGAGTCCTTCTGGAACTTTTATTGAGCCAGAAATAATGTATCTTCATTTAATAACTTTTGAATTAGTAGCCATTGTGGATGAATCTCCACTTCCTTGGAGTTACTCTCAGTCTCTAGTCAGGGTGATAGACAAGAAACAGATAAATGACAGTATAGCAAAAGATGATACTAGGGTCTTGACTCAAGTGACATGGGAGCTCAAGAAAGGCAGTAATAGATTGTATTATGTTATTCTGGGAATTTATACAAACTTTTAGAATTAGAAAATTCCACTGACTTGAGGTACTTTGAATGTCTGTGGTGCTTTTGGTTTCCTTCCTTTAGAAGGGCTCTGGGGTACACAGTCTTGAGTTCCTAGGAAACTTGTGTCGTCTGAAAGTTATGGGTTCCTAAATTGAAAATGTTTTGAGTAGCTAAAGGTTAACCTAATTAAGGAAGTGATTTCACTAGTTTGAATATACATTAACACCATCTGGTCATCTGGGAAAAGCAAAGTAAAACACTAACAATGCATAAGTTGGATTTTAAAAGACTAAATCATTTAAAATAAATACAAAGTCTGAGATAGGGAAGGAAAACATTGAAAATATTCAAGAACAGTAGAGAATTGTTTTTTAAAGCCTATTTGCAGTTAATTCATTCAACAAACATTAATTGAGCACCACATATGAGTGTTGAGCATAGAAGGTTTCTGCCACCATGGAAGACAGGCAAAAAAGTAATTGTAATATAACATACTGAATTTGGTAGTAGAGGTCTGGTGGTGAGGAGAAGGAAAAAATGGTAAATATTTTCTGGGAGCAGTGAGGAACAAAGAGGAAATGTGGACATACCTTTAAAGATTAGGAGACAATTGATTTGAGACTTGAAAGAAGACCTTCAGCAAGCATACTAGAGTAACGGAGTCATCATGGCAGAGGGAACTTACCCGAGTGTGGAACGCCAAAACAGAATGGCTGGTGTAAAGCTTTGCAATCATTAGCTAGCCTGGAGGAGCTTTTTTGAAATATGTTCCTGGGAATATTAATAGGTATTACACCAAAATGGTTATGTGTGTAGGGGGAATGCTATATTTCATAGAGCCCATAGAACACTAATTCTAAGTCTCTAAGAAATATATTTGGCAGTAATTTGCAAAGTGTATTTGAATCCTGGAGCTCTTTTCCTGTGGTGAGTCTTTAGCTGGTAACCCTAGAACACATTTTAGAAAAGGTTGTGCTTGAGCATAAGATGTGTAGGAAGAAGTGATAGAAAATCAAGGTGGCTGGTAGCAGGCTCATAGAGGGCCATGTGTATTATGTTAAGAGTGGTTTTTCCCTCTAAGCAGTGGAAAAACCATTGAATAAGCTATGAAGTAAGATTAAATCTGAATTTATAGTTACCTGGTAGTAGAAAAATACTAGACTAGAATAGAAGGCATGTCACTGCATTCTTAAATTTTCTGAGACACTGGTTTTTGTTTTGTTGGAAAATTGTGTTTTTTCTCGACTCATTAGTCCCACATAGATGATGACAGATAAGCTCTAGTATCACAATTTATATAAGTAGCATTTAAAATACCCTAAGCTTTAATGATCTTATTTTCTGAAAATAAGGTTTAAATGCTAATTTTGTCCCCAGTTCCTCTTATAGCATAAAAGACCTTTTCTTCCCACTTACAAACTAAAAATCAAACAAAATGAAACAAAACCTCACTTTTACTATAGCAGTTATTTAAAAATAGTAGGTGTTATAATTTTTCTAGTTCCAAAATTTGTTGCATTGCTAAATACCACTGAATGATACTTCACCAACAGTGATTGGGTTCTAGTGCCGTTAGATTATTTGTTCCCATCTTTTAATTTATGCACATTAAATTTTTTTATATAGTTAATGTACAATTACTTGAACAACATTATAGTTATTAGACTCCCCCTATTAAGTCCCCCTCACATACCCCATTACAGTCACGGTTCATCAGCATAGTAAGATTATGCACATTAAATTTTATAGTAATTACATTTCTAACAGATAAGAGATTAAAATAATATAATCAGTAGATCTTCTTGCAAAAAAAAAAATTCAATGACAAGAAACATGCAGGGTGCAAGTCCAATGCAGGAAATACTTTTCAGTTGCTTCATAAGTTTAGGCATCTCAAATGTAGCACATCCAAAACTTAACACCTGCAGTCCTGTCTCAGATAATGGCAGTTCCCTTTTTCCACGTACTAAGGCCAAAATCCTTGACTTTTGTCATACCTAACATCTAGTCTGTCAACAGACTATTTGGTCCTACCTTTTAGAGTATATCCAGAATTTGATCACTCTTCACTATCCCCACCTTCACCACCCTGGACCAAACTACTGCAACCTCTTGCCTGGATTGTGCCTACATATCTGATTTCCCTGCTTCTGCCCCTGCTTACTTTGAATCTGTTCTCACTGACAGCAGCCAGAGTGGGGCTGTTGAAATATCAGATTATGTCACATTTTGCTCAAAACCTCCAGTGGCTTCCTATCCCACAAATAACAAAGTCCATACTGTGATCAGCAGTCCCTGCATAAACTGCGCTTGTTTACTTTACTTTGTCTACTTGCTCTCTTAATCAGCCCCACTGATCTGCTCCATGTTACTCGAGCACACCTTACACAGCCTGACTTCGACATTTTACTTTCTATTTTTTCTGCTTGGAATTCTCTTTCACCAGATAACCACATGGCTAACTCCTTCACTTCCTTTAGATCTTTTCTCAGATGTAACCATTGCTTTTTCGTAGCTACCTTAGCTAAAATTTCAATCCTTACACTCCAAAACTTCTATTCTCTTTCCCTACTTTTTGTTTTAGCACCTATGACTAAGTTTGTATTTTAATATTTGCTTTTTGTCTCTCTCCAGTTTGTAAGTTCTGTGACAGCTAAGATTTTTGCTGTTTGTTCATTACTGTATTCCAAGTACCTACAACACTACTTGACAAACAGTAGGTACTCAGAAAACACTGCTAAGTCAGTGAAAGAAGGAATAAAAATAATAGGCTGACAAGCAGTATATTTTGAAAATAGAGGAAGCTAAGAAGTAATCATGTTGAAATTAAACTAAGTTCATTTAAAAAAAAATGCATGCAGATATTTAGCTCAAATCACTTGTTCAATATCTGATGTATTTTTAACTCATCTGTTTTCTTCCATCATATCCTTAAATTATAATGGCTCAGGGTGGTATTTTAGAGTACCGTATTTGTAGATCCTGTGTACATAGTCAATAAAGAAATAGAAAGTTTCATACCTGGAGTGATTCACTGATGACCTACCCGACATGATATAGCCACATTGCTCTGAGGAATCCAGGGTAAGACTGGCTTTTTTTAAATTGAGGTAAAATGCATATAACATAAAATTTACCGTGTTAATAATTTTTAAATACACAGGTGTGAAACAGAGCTTCTGAACTTTTTCATCTTGCAAATCTGAAATTATATCCATTAACAGCTTTCCCATTCTACCTCCCCAACCCCAGCTGCTGGTAACCATGATTCTACTTGTTTTTGTAAGTTTCACTTTAGATACCTCATGTAAGTAGAATCGTAAAGTATTTGTCTTTTGATGACTGACTTATTTAATTTATAATGTCTTAAGTTCGTCCATGTTGTACAGCATGTAACAGGATTTCCTTTTGAAGACTGAATAATATTCCACTGTATGTATATACCTGTACATATAAATACTTTGTTTATCCATTTGGCATTTAGTTGGTTCCACCTCTGGGCTACTGTGAATTAGTGCTGCTGTGAACATGGGTATGGAAATATGAGCCTGGCTCATACTTTAACTTAAAATACTTTATACTTTAATTTTTAGTTTATAGTATCTTTGTGTCAAATGCTCTGCCTTTATTGAAAAATGTTATGAATAATTATATAGTCTGTACCTGTCTATCTTAATACATATTTAGCTCCTAATACTGCACATATTTCAGAAGTTTGTATAGTATAGTTTAATGAGATCAGAAGAAAGAGATCACTTTTCTAAAGAAAAACCCTATGACATGTAAATATTTAGCTGAAAAACAATTATTTAGCTGTTTTCCAAATTCTTAACATCACTGTCATCACAAACTCATCTTTTTCTGACATAGCTAATCCAACTAACCACTGACCAAATGTCCGTGATCCTGCTAAACATGTTAAAAACATAAAACATGTTTAAATTAGTATAGCTTTAAACAGATGTTATCTACAAAACTCTCATTAACGAAAACACAAAGAGCCGTGTTCAAATGTTGTATGAACATAATGTGTCTAAAGAGCCAATTTAACAATTCCTTTTGGTTGACTTCTTCTGCACCTCTTTATGCTTCTTCTTTTTCCTCTTACCACCTTCTTTGAATCCTGAGGAGACAATAGAGGGATCCCTGCTGCTGGTAACCCAAGGCATACCTTACTCAATATTGTCCACAAAAGTATACTGAGATACAGTGTTTGGAGCTGTAGGACTTTGGTGAATGACTGTTGAGTGACTGTCTACTCCAGCTGCATTCTTCTGCAAAACCCTCTTCCTCTACCACATCATTTATAATGAAGGACTTCAACTTTCCATCATCTTCAGCTTCTTCTCTTTCTTTTTTTTTTTTTTTTTGAGAGAACATCTCTCATATTTATTGATCAGATGGTTGTTAACAACAATAAAATTCTGTATAGGGGACTCAATGCACAGTCATTAATCAACCCCAAGCCTAATTCTCAACAGTCTCCAATCTTCTAACGCATAACAAACAAGTTCTTACATGGTGAACAAAGCTTCTTCTCTTTCTTGATCATTCTCAGTAAGTCTCTGTGTATTGAGATTTCTGCTGTTAACAGTCTTACCTGAAGTTGTAACAGGTATGTATTTGCCCATCCCACTATCATCAAATGCCAGGGAAGAGAATGAATCAGGGCCCTCGTGGCCCAGTGAACCATATGGTATATATTCTGTATCATCTGAAGGGAATCTCTCAAAAACTAGATATTCACTGGAGATAGAAAGGATCTTGCACCTCTGTTTCTACTTCCACAAGAGCTTTTTGGACTATTTAAAAGGTCCTCAAGTGAGTCTTCAAAGAAATGAAATGAAAATGGGTCCCTTTGACCATAAATTTCTTTGAAGACATCATCTGGCTTATGAAATGTGAAGCCATATTCAAAAGAATCATCAAAATGACTTCCACCTCCACCATTTAATCCTTCTTTGCCATATTTATCATAAATGTCCCAGTGTTCATCATTTGATAATACCTCATATGCCTTAGCTGCTGCTTTGAACTTTCTCTCAGCTGCTGTTTTACTTTCTGGATTTTTATCAGGGTGCCACTTAAGTGCCACTCTATGATAAGCCCTTTAATGTCCTTAGGTGAAGCATGTCTCTGCACTCCTAGAACTTCATAGTAATCCACCATGTTAGAACAGATTGTTGGGGAGGGGTGCGCTGGTAGTTAGTGCTGATTTCTTCTTGGCTCGGGCTCTGCTGTTAGTGGTGGTAGAGGCAGTGACTGCAAATAGGCACATTTTTACACTAAAGACAGTGTTATTGTAGACTGCTTCTAGGAGATGCCAGGATACTAATTATGTGGCAAGCAGAGTTACAAGCTTATGTCAGAGTGGGCTGCATTGTGCTGTCATTCTGGGGTTGGGGTAGGGACCAGACCTTCCAAATGGAGCTAGTGTGGGGACCTAGCAAATCATCCTGAACCCCTGGTCTATCTCTATGTTTCCTTAGAAGCCTCAAAGAATGCCTCATCAAGCAGTAGGATCTGTTGTTGATGGCCACAGCGTGCCCTTTGCATAGTATGACCTCTAGGTTACTGAGCTTTAATAACCTCTTTCCTAGTTCTTCCATGATTTGGAAAGATGAAGAATTCATTAACTATGTGAAAAAGTGTTCAAGCAGTTGACATATTTGTTTATTTCGGTCAGGAGACGTACAGTTCAGTAGCTCATAACAAATAAGTAACTCAATTACGATATAACAGGGGCTATGATGGGGGAAAAACTGGATGCTAAGCAATCATATGAGGGAAACCTAGCCCAGACATGGGGTGTCAAAGAAGGCTTCTTGGAGGAAGTAGCCTAATTTATAAGATTTCTGTATGCCATTGCTGAGTCATTTGAGATGATATCTTTGCCCACTTAAAGTTTACTACTACAAAGCATGTAGTTAAAGATTTTGATAATTGTGCATTTATGTATTCCTTATATAATTATTGAATGCATATTTTGTGCAAAGCACTATTTTAGCCACTGGTGATAACTAACAAAAAAATACCGATTTTCATGGTATTTACATTAAAATGGAGTATAAATAATGAAACAATAATTTGAGATAATGTGATATGTGTTCAAAAAGAAAAAAAAAATAGTAGTGTGATGGGGCAGAGAGTAACCTTTGATTGGTTTTAGAATCCTCTGAGGAAGTGACATTAGAGCTGAGACCTAGATGACAGACAGCCATGGGATGATCCCATAGAGTCGCTGCTAACCATGGTGATAGACATTTTGAGCTATTACAAATAAGGCTAGGATTCATTTTAACTACAGTGAGGAGCCATGGGTAGTATACATCTGATTTACCTTTTAATGGATCAGGGGCTGCTATGTGGAGATTCAGTTGTATGTGGGAAAGTGAAATTTAAAAACCCAGTTAGAAGCAAACTAGACCAAAGTTGATTTTCTTTTGAGTCAATATAAATTGTCAGTAGACTAGACCTGAATTCCTATAAATTCCAGGAAATTCCCCATAATGATCTCTGTTTTTCCTCCATTATATTGTTTTTTTTGTCATTACATTTATAAGCCCCTCAGTTAAATGATATTCCAATGAGACAAACAGTAGTGTTTGCTTCTAGATAGTCTTTCAAGACCATTTGCCTTCTCACTATCTTTTGCTTTGTGTTTGTTTTGACATACCAGTTGACTAGAGGTAATGCAAAACTCTTAAATTCAAAATAGTTTCAATTCTCTACAGTATATACATGCTTTACATGTATGTATGTATGGTATACACATGATTATACTTACCTGCCATTGAAAATAATAGCAATAATTATAATATTGAATAGTATCATTGGGTAAGACACTGTACCAAGTGACTTACTCTCATATTATCACAGCATTTCAGTAAACTAAATATTTTGTGCCTATAAGAAGCCTGAGGCTCTGAAAGGTAAAGTAACGTGTCTAAGGCTGCCTAACTTGTTAGTGAAAAATCTGGTATTTAAACTTGAGTCTAATTCCAAATTCTGCTCCTGCCACTCCAGTGCATTTCTTGAACCAGGACTTAAGAGTTTAGGTTCTAGATATTGTACAAAATTTATTAAGAACCTATGACATGCAAAGAGGAGTTAGAAAATAGAAAATTCTGTTCTTAAGGAACTGATGTAATTGGAAAAAACTGAAAAACTAATTTCAACAGCATGTGAAAGTGTAATACAAGGATTTACTTCTGTAATTCTCCCTGCCTCGATCCCTCACCCCTTTCAACTGTTGTGCCATTTTCTCTGATCTTTTCACAATAAAACAATTTTTGTCTCTACTTGATGTCTCTGCTTTCTTTCCTCCCATTTTTCCTTTGGCACACTCCAGTCTGGCTTTTATCCCCCGTTTTATTGAGATATAGTTGACATACAACATTGTCTATGTTTAAGATGTACAACAAAATGATTTACATATGTATATATTAGAAATGATTACCAAAATAAGTTTCACTATCTTCCATTACCTCACGTAGGCAATATTTTCTTCTTGTTATAAGAACTTTTAAGGTCTACTCTCAGCAACTTTCAAATGTACAATACATAATTGTTAACTACAGTTACCATGTTGTGTGTTACATCCACACTTACTTATAACTGGAAGTATGTACCTTTTGTCTACCTTCACACATTTTGGCTTCTATATTTAATACTGTACTAAAACTGTTCTTGTCGAGATCTCTGGTGACTTCCATGTTGCCAAATCCAGTGGTTTGTCCTTTTGGCACTTAACACAGTTGAGCACTCCCTCCTCCTAAAACACTTGTTTCTTTAACTTCCTAAATACTTCATTCTTCTAGTTTTCTTCCTCTTTCTTGTGCTTTCCTTCTCAGAACTAAAATATAGTACCTGGACTTTATCTACATGATCTCCCTAAGTAATATCCAGTCCCAGGGCTTTAGATTCCATCTATGTGCTTATGACACTTAAACTTATATATCTAGCCTGTTCCTTTTCCCCTTGAATGTAAGATTGCCTGTATGATCTGTCTGTTGGAATATCCAGTAGGTATCTCAGTCTTTCTCACTTATTTAATGGTTCAACCATCTACCCAATTTTCAGGCCCAAAACCTGAGAATCATCCTCAGTTTCTCTTTTTTCTTTATTCTCTGCATTTTGATCAGAAGCCAGTGGCTTATCAAACTCTCTTGCGTTTGACTTTCATAATTCATCCCAAATCTACTCACTGGAGAAATAAAGTCAAATAAACCATCCCTGCCTTCCAAAAGTTTATAGTAGACTAGCAAACTAGCAGTTATGTGCACTGTAGTAGGTATTAGAATAGAGGTAAGCAGAGGAGCATTGAGGAGAGCATTTGCATCAGAAGCAGTATGGGTGGGGAGTTATTTTTTAAAAAAGGCTTCCTAGATTAAGTGATATTTGAATTGATTTTTAAGAAGTTGGGTAGTCATAGAAGCAGACCATTTTAGACAAGAGAACTGCACTTTCAAAGGCAAATGCTGTTAAATACAAACTGACTAGCTGGGGCTCTACAAGCAGTTTAGTGTGACTGTGATGTTTTTTGAGGATTAGGTCAGACAAGTGAGCAGGGGCCAGATGAAGGCTGCTAACCTAGAGTTTGAAGTGTTCTGAAAGACAAAATTCTAAGTTTATAGTGTTAGTATGGGAAACTGGAAAGTTAAGGACAGATCGTGGTGTGGTTGACTATCTTTGAAGAGGTTGAGGCAAAGGATTAGAGATCACTTTGGAAATAGTATAGCCTATAGAGAATGAATGGAAGACCACAAGACCCACAACAGACCAGTTAGGAGACTACAGGCATACCTCAGATACTGCAGGTTCAGTTCCACACCACTGCAGTAAAGCAAAGATGGCAATTAAGCAAGTGAATTTTTTGGTTTCCCAATACATAGAGCAGTTACATTTATACTACAGTCTGTTAAGTGTACAATAGCATTATGTCTAAAAAAATGTACATACTTAATTTAAAAATACTTTATTGCTGCAAAATGATAACCATCATCTGAACTTTTAGCAGGCCCTAATCTTTTGGCTGGTCTTGCCTTGATGTTGATGGCTGCTTACTGATCAGGGTGGTGGTTGTTGAAGGTTGGGTGGCTATGGCAGTTTCATACTATAAGACAACAGTGAAGGTTGCCACATTGGTTGACTCTGTCTTTCATTAATGATTTCTCTGTAGCATGTGATGCTGTGTAGTAGCATTTGACCCACAGTAGAACTTCTTTCAAAACTAGAGTCAGTCCTCTCAAACTCTAACATTGCTTTGTCAATTTAGTTTATGTAATATTCTAAATCCTTGTCATTTCAACAATCCTCATAGCATATTCACCAGGAGTAGATTCCATCTTAAGAAACCACTTTCTCTGCTAACTCATAAAAAGCAGTTCTTCATCTGTAAAAGTTTATCATGAAGTTGCTGCAATGCAGTTACATCTTCAGGTTATGTTTCTAGTTCTCTTGATGTTTCCACCACATCTGCAGTTACTTCCTGTACAAAAGTCTTGAGTTCCTCATCTGTGACGGTTGGTTGTCACCTTCTTCCAGACTTTTGTGAATGTTGATATTTTGAAGTCTTACCGTGAATCATAAATATTCTTAATGGCATCTAGAACAGTAAATATTTTCCAGATGGTTTTTGATTTACTTTGCCCATATCCATCATAAGAATCACATCTATGGCAGCTATAGCCTTATGACATGTATTTATTAAATAGTTAGGGCTTAAAAATTGAAATTACTCCTTAATCCATGGACTGCAGTTGTGTTATCAGGCATAAAAACAACATTAATCTGGTTGTACATCTCCAGTGGAGTGCTTAGGTGAACAGGCACATTGTCAAGAAGCAGTAATATTTTGAAAAGAATCTTTCCTGAGCAGTAAGCCTCAACAGTGGGCTTCAAATATTCAGTAAATCATGTTGTAAATAGATGTGCTGTCATCCAGTCTTAGTTGTGCCATTTATAGAGCACAGGCAGAGTACAGTTAGCACAATTCTGAAGAGCCCTAGGATTTTTGGAATGGTAAATGAACATTGGCTTCAACTTAGTCACAAGCTGCCTTAGCCCTTAACAAGAGAGTTAGCCTGTCCTTTGAAGCTTTGAAGCCAAGCATTGACTAGATGGCAGTTTCTTCCAATAGAAGGCTGTTTCTTCTATATTGAGAATCTGTTTAGTATGACCACCTTCATTAATTATCTTAGCTAGTTTTTCTGGATAATGTGCAGCTTCTCCATCAGCACTTGCTGCTCTACCTTGTACTTTTGTGTTAGGGAGATGGATGCTTTGTTTAACCTTATGAGCCAATGTCTGCTAGCGTCAGATTCTTTGGCAGCTTCCTCACCTCTCTCAGCCTTCGTAGAATTAAAGAGAGTTAGGGCCTTGCTCCGATTATGCTTTGGCTTAAGGGAATGTTCTATCCAGACCACTAAAACTTTCTGCGTATCAGCAATAAGGCTGTTTTACTTTCTTACCACTGTGTGTTCACTGCAGGAGCACTTGTAATTTCCTTCAAGAATTATTCCCTTGCATTCACACCTTGGCTAACTCTTTGGCATTAGAGGCCTAGCTTTTGGCTTGTCTCAGCTTTCAACATGCCCTCCTCACTAAGGTTAATCATACCTAGCTTTTGATTTAAAGTGAGACTTGTAACTCTTCCTTTTAGTTGAATGCTTAGAAGACATTGTGGGTTATTAATTGGCCTAATTTCAGTATTGTGTATCAGGGAATAGGGAGGCCCGAGGAGAGGGAAAGAGACTGGGGAATGGCTGGTCACTAGAGCAGTCAGAACACACACATGTATTAAGTTTGTCATGTTCTATGGGTGTGGTTCATGGTGGCTCAAAACAATTACAATAGTAATATCAAAGATCACTGATCACAGATCACCGTAACAAATATAATAATAATGAAAAAGTTTGAAATATTGTGGGAATTACCAAAATATGACAGGGATGTGTAGTGAGCAAATGCTGTTGGAAAAAGGCATTGATGGACTTGCTAGACACAGGGTTGCCACAAACTTTCAATTTGTGAAAAACACAGTACCTGTGAAGTGCAGTAAAACAAGGTATACCTGTATTGCAGTAGTCCAGGTGTATTGAGGTGGGTCTAAACTAAGGAAATGGCCTCCATTTGAATTAAACTGGATGTTTTAGAAGTAGGACTTGACATACCAGCTTTGGTACTAACTATGTGACCTTGGGCAAAATATCCTGTTTACTTCAATGTAGGTGAAGAGCTATCAAGACTTTATTTGTGAATTTACTGAGAATAAGCATCTCAATTTATGCCTCCGTGCAGTATTGTTTATTTGCTTTGCCTTTGAGTTAAGCTTCCTCTGCTTGTAAGTAGTCCAAAACAGAAGGATTGGATAGTCTAGCATTATTTCACCTGAACATAAAAAATGAGAGAAGTGGTTAACTTTTTACTTTCAGTTGTTTTACTACTAAAATGGTAGTGTAGACCGTGTAGTCTAATGGTTATAGGCTCTGTAATAAATTATTATTCAAATCCTCATTCTGTCTAGTATGGGAAAGTTTCATCTTCATCTTGGGAAAGTTCCTTAACTTTACTGTGTATCTTTTTTCTCATCTTTATTCACGGGTGGAGAAAAACGTGAAGAGGAATTATATAACATGCCAAGATTACATAGTAGAACTAAACTAGAACTAGCACTTACTTCTATTATACCATGCTGCGTTTAACTCTTTGTCTTAGATTATCTTCCGGACTCTGTACTTATTTTCTTTAGTTTTCTCTATGATTACTACATCCTTTTTTTAATGGGAAATTTCAAACATATACACAAGTAGATAATGAGCTCCCATGTACTCATCACCCAGTTTCAATAATTATCAACATATGCCAATATGATATCTTGGATTTCACCCAAATCCACTTTCATCTTCTCCCCAAACCACCCCACCTCCATATTATTTTGAGACAAATCCCAGATCATATCACTTCATCTGTAAATATTTCAGTTTATATTTCTAAAAGATAAGGTTCACCCAATACCATTATCACACTGTAAAAAATAAGCATTATTTTCATAACACCATCAAATATGTAATCACTGTCCAAATTTCCAATGATCTCATAAATATAATGACTAGTGTAAGTGGATATTTGTTTTATAATTTGTTGCTTGAATCAGGATCTATATAAAGTCCCCATATTGTAATTGGTTGATAATGTCTTTTAAGGTTTTCTTGATCTGTAGATTTCCTGCTTCCATCTCTTACCAACCCTTCCTGCCATGGAATCTATGTGAAAGAAACTGAGTTGTTTGTCCTGTAGTGTTTCCCAGTCTGGACTTTGTTAACTGCATCCCCATGGTGTCATTTAGCAAGTTCCTCTGTCCTCTGTAAATTGCCTGCCTCATCTTTGTTAAGCTTTCAATGTGTATAGACTAGGCATATTCCCAAATATGTGTTCTGTGTATTTTCTAAAGACAGATTCCAGGAAAATACTAATGTCCTTTTTCTCAGTTTTCACTATTTTTAACTGTATTTTCACACTGCCTTGCAGTCTACCATATTCTGTCTTTTAAATCATCTGAGAAGTTAATAATTTTTCTGAGTAATCCTCTGTAAATTTAATTCAGAGTTAACATTTAAGACTTCTCCAAATATGTACATCATCATTCATACCTCATAGTCCCTTCAAAAACCTTTAACTCTTGATCCAGACTTAATTGCATTCTGCTATTATAGTGATTATAAATTCACAAGAAGATTGTCTAGTACTGTTGTGTTGTTGGGATTCAACAGGGAATGCTTGCAGAGCAGCAGGGTAGAGGGAGAAGAGCACAGATTTTGAAGTTAAATAAGTCTGGGTTTGAATTTGAATTCATGCTTCCCCTGTACTAACTGTGTAACATTACACAAATAATTCTGAGTCTGATTCGTTCCTTGTAAAAAAGTAATGATAGTGTCTACCTCATATGGCAGTTAAAAATCTAATTATTTTGGTATAAAAATCTTTCAGTGGTCTGGTACTTATTTTTCTGATCTTTTCATCTCCCTCCAGCAACATTGACTCTTCCCCCTCCACACCCACACGCACACGCACACATGTACACGTAAACTCAGTGTCTTCTGTGCTTTCCTGTTCTTAATCTCATTCATGATGTCTTCCCTACCCCTAGTCTCTCTTCACTTGTCTGATTCCTATCCACCTAATAATTCCTATTCACCTGCTTCTGCAGTTCCACACGGACACGGTCGGTGTGCTGCTTTGTGCTCCCCGGAGCTCTGTGGGCCTATCTTTGTCATTGCACCCATCCCACAGCATTATATTTCCTTGTGCTCTCAAAAACCTTGTGGATTAATGTGTTCACCTTGTAGTATTAGAAATGCTCTGTTTTGTGTCACCTTGTGTCTTACTCTTGTGTCTTTCACAGCATGTGTTCCAATCCCATGCTAATCTTGAGTGAATGCTAGTAACAGTGTTTATCGTGTGCTATGATTAAGCATTCTTCATATTTTATCTAGTTCTAACAGTTCAAGATTAAATTACATAGTATGTGCATATTTTTTCACACTTCACATATTCTCAGTAAAAATGTTAATTCTCTTTTTCTGAATTTTAGGACACAGCTTCACACTAACTCTGTGAAATACATTCTAACCCTTTCTCTGCTTTTGTTCATTGCCTTCCTTCTGTTTGCATAGCTCCTTTTTCATACCTTAGTCATATTATATGTATATATTCCTCTATTATACTGCAGACGACTAAAGTCACTAAGGGTAAAATGATCTCATTTCTCTATTCCTAGGGCCCAGTACAGGCTCTGGCTGGCACAGAGGAAGGGCCATATAAATATTAAAGGAGATAGTAGTTTGCATTTTTCAAAAGCATCCAACTGCTAGAGATCATTAGATGTCTATATACTGTGTGGACTTCCTGGATTCATTGTTCCTTTTCATCCTCTTTATTATTCCTTCAGGATGCATGTCATGTTCACAGCGAAGGTACTCCCTCCAGCCCATCCCAGAGAAGAGGATTCCAAATCGATACTTAGGCCAGCCCAGCCCCTTTACACACCCACACCTCCTCAGACCAGGTAAGGCCTTTTACCTGTAATAACTGTCTCTTTAGTTGTTTCATCTGGAACTGTGCCATCCAACAGAATTTTTGTAGTGATGTAAATGTTCTAGGTCTGTGCTGTCCGATACAGGAGCCAGTGGCCACAAGTGGCTGTTGTACACTTACAATGTTGCTAGTGTAACTGAGAAACAAAATTTTTTATTTTATTTTAATTAAATTTAAACAGCAATGTGTGACTGCTGGTACTGATAGCACCATGTAGAGCAATAAATATAATAAACCTTATAATTCCGAATTATCAGTGGAAAGTATGTATTTCAGGATGTTTTTAAAGAAAAGTTCTATTTCTAAGACATAGTTTTTAGAACTGTTCTGTTGATTCCTTCTGAACTACTATGTTAAAGACATTTTAGAAACATGTTTTTCTTGAAAGCATTAAATGCTCATTTCAAAGTTTAAACAAAAATATTTCTATATACATCATGCAAGATTTCCAGATGTGATTGTCACAGCTTTGAGAGGTGATAACAGTGATAAAGGTGATACAAAAAATTGATCAGAGTTTACCAAGTTTTATAACCTGATAAAGGTTGCATCACTAATTTATTTTCTACAATTAGATTCTAGTGTTACTGCTAAAAAGTGTGTCATCGCTATTGTTCAAATACATACCTAAAGTTCTTTGTTTTGTTTTTCTAAAAAGGCAGTTAAGGGATCAACTATGGGGAACAAATATCCAAAAGAGGTGGGCGTGTTAAACTAAATGTTCTGTAGAGAAAGTGGTCAGGCTTTCAAGGGAAAGTAATCGTTGCTTCTGCCCTGGGAAGTTAAATCTGTATTTACTATGTAAATATGTATATGTAAATAATCTAAATTGCCTTTAGAAATATGTTACTCTTTCACTATTTCTACTCAGTGGATGATACCAGTGTGTCTCTCAGTGGGGCTTCCTTGTGCTGATCCTTCATCAGACTGGAATTCCTGCTGGGAAGTCGGCTGAGTCAGGAAATGCAGCTCACCACTGAAACACACAAGAAATCAGTTTTTCAAAGCTATCAGGTAAGCTTAATAGCAATTCAGTTGATATTAATTTAAGTATTTCTCTACCCTGTCAACCTACCTGTAGCTTCATTCTTTTTAAAAAACTAGAATTGATATTAAGTTTTACCAGCTTTGAATATTATTGATTTCTCATGGTGAGATACTTTTACATGGTGAGCTGCATTTTCTAGGCTTTGAAACCAGCAGTCATACTGTCGAGACTATCTCTATCTAGACTGTTTGCTGTGTATGTTAACTATATAAAAAGTGAATGTACATAAACATTGTATATTTACTATAAATATAAAATAAACTATATAAAAGTGTCTGTAAATACACACAGACATGTTCACACATATGCATATGTTCGTATCAGCTCTCGGGGAAAACAGAGGCTTGTCTTCATTTTAGGACAAAGGCTTTTGGACACTAATGTCAGTAAGAAGAGATAGAAATAGATGGAATTTTAAAACAGAATTATTACTATTAAAGAAAGTATCAGGTATACAGTTTGTGGACACAAACACTATAAAAGTAACCAAAGTATTAATCATTTGTTTTTCTCTGTGTAAAGATGCAAAACTTATGGAAGTGTTAGAATGATTGTGTGGTGGAGGAACAGTAAATTATTCTTAAAAGTTATAACGCATGTAATAATTTTTAAAATTTCTTTTATAGAGCCAAAGTCTGTTGGTTTGGGGTAGAAAATTATGTTGACTGTTACTTGGTTTGGCATAGTTTCCCAATATGTGCCAGTACTTAAAACTTAAAACTTTCAGAAAATATTTCAATCCTTTTCCTAATTATTATACAAGTTCCATATATATTATAGAAAAATTAGAGAATACACATAAGCATTTTTTAAAATTACTGATAATCCCACCTCTCAGAGGAAACCACTGTTGAGATTTAGTGTCTTTCTAGACTTATTTCTTATATAGAAGTGTGTGCATGTATGTGTGAACACACTGTATATTGGTCCATCATTTCCTTAAAATAAATTCCTAGAAGTGAAATCACTTGGCCAGCTCCCTCTGGGTTTCTGGGAGCTGTTTCCCTTGGATTTCCCTTGGCCATTCCTACCTAAGTTTCCTGAAGCAGTAGTATCTTGGAAAATGTCCAAAAGAATAAGATGGGAGGTAAATGCTGTTCTGGCTATGCTACTACTGCTTTAGATGGAAATAGAGAGGTTGACTCCCAAAGTCCTCCTGGTGATTTTTAAAATTTAACATTTCCTTAAAGAATCTGAGCATTGTAGACATTCCCTTCTTTTTATGATATGCCTACATCCCTGTGATAAGGACTACTTTTATAGAGACAGAAAACGTCAGTTCATTCTCCTTGATCATTAATATACCCTTGACTTATCACCCAGGGGAAAAAAGTGACTCCATGTAGGTAGGCAAGTGGCATTCTGGGCTATTATGAATTGTGTGTCTTCTTTTTATATCTGCAGAAAAAAGGCACATAGTTCCCCGATACTGTCACAGGAATAATGCAGTCAGCGGAACAGCAAGGTGTTCAGCTTACATAAACACTGAGACTTTTCAGAAAATAGGAAGAATTAGGGCCTAATGAAACATTATTTCCAAAAAATTATACTTGGAACATTTTTGCATTCTTAAGAAAAATTAATTTTGGATTATGGGATATAGTTTGGAGTGCTTTAAGAAAGAGCTGTTAGGAAAGTTGGGCTTGTCAGAACGATTGTCTGATACATCCAGAACTGCTTCCTGGTTTTCTTACAACTACAACAGTGAGCAGATTCATTGGGAAGTGATCAGAACACAAATGTGCGGCCCACAGTTTAAGAGAATGCTTTTACCATTTACCTTTTGTCCCTTATTATCAAATATAATGGCTGAGAATGTACAGTTCTTGTCAACTATAATATTTTAAATGCTGAAAAGATTTGTTCTAGAGTAGGTTATAGATAGTTCCCAAATCTTCCCTTATGAGTTTCACAACCAATTAGGTATATCCATCTTTCAGTGATAGTTTAGTTGCAGTTCTGCCTTGAGCATGGGGGTGTTTTTTGTTTCTGTTTTTTTTTTAATTTTGTCAAACACGGTTGACTACAATCTAAAGATCTCTAAAAGATAAAGATTTATTTTGGTGGGATGAGATTTTTATACTGTTTAAAAGATGTAAGTATGTGTCCAGAAATTGAAAATAGTTTGAACCTACCTAGACGATTGCATGAACTTTTTCAAAATACTACATACATTCTGTGAGTCCCAGGACTTGTTGAATCTGAGTCTCAAGAGAAGGGCTTAGAATGTGTTTTGAACCTGTGGTGCTCCTGATGACACCATCTGCCTGATGGGTGCTCCTTCAGCTGAGTGAATGAGATGCCTAATGTCCATGCTGTCAAGCCAGATCTTTGGCTACAGGCCATGTTTTGAAGCGCAGTGTCCCTTCCCCATGCCTCTCTGATGTCCTCATCCCCAAACACTCAGTTCTTTAATTCATTTATGTCTTTATCATCACCACATCAAACATTTTCTGAACGACAAGTTTACATTCATCTATCCATTCAAAACACTTTCTATAGCTTATACCTGACAGGTAGAGTAGTAGTCTAAAAACGATTTATATTCTAGAATTTATAAATTTAAGTTCAAGGCCTACTTTTTCGATATTTCACCATAAAGTTTACCTGTTTTTTTTTTTTTAGTTCCCTCATTTATGTATTTATTTATTTATTTTTTATTTTGGTGTCATTAATGTACGATTACATGAGCAACATTATGGTTACTAGACTCCCCCCATTATCAAGTCCCCACCATGTACTCCATTACAGTCACTGTCCATCAGCGTACTAAGATGCTATAGAATCACTATTTGTATTCTCTGTGTTGTACAGCCCTCCCTGTGCCCCTCTACATTATGTATGCTAGTCGTAATACCCCTTTTTCCCCTTTATCCCTCCCTTCCCACCCATCCTCCCCAGTCCCTTTCCCTTTGGTAACTATTTGTCCATTCTTGGGTTCTGTGAGTCTCCTGCTGTTTTGTTCCTTCAGTTTTTTCTTTATTCTTATACTCCACAGATGAGTGAAATCATTTGATACTAGTCTTTTTCCGCCTGGCTTATTTCACTGAGCATAATACCCTCTAGCTCCAAAGTCTACCTGTTTTTATAAAGTAATGTATTTTCTTTTCTCACTCCCTGTGACCTATGGAATTACACATTTTCCTTTTGTCTTTGTCTTAACTATTTTTTTGGCTTTCTTTTTTTCTTTTTGGTTTCTAATTCTACTTTGCTTTTTATTGAAGTATATTTGATATACAATATTATATTGGTTTCAGGTGTACAACATAGTGATCTGACAATTGCATACATTACTGAATGTTCACCACAATAAGTATAGTTGCCATCTGTCAACATACAAAGATATTGCAATATTATTTTCCTTGCTGAATCAGATTTTAATGTGGAATAAAGACTGAAGTCTTTACATATGTATTTATAGGTGAGTAAATATATTTAATCTATATATATGATACATGTTGACTACTCATATGGTTCCATTTTACTGGTAGCTATCTAGAGCAGAATTATAGGGTATTTCTCTGTTTTTTTAATATTGGGACAAAAAGAAAATTTTGAAATATTATGCAGTTTAAATACTGGTACATTAAAAATAAATGACTCATCCATTTCCCCATTTAACCTTTGTGATGTTTATCAAGAAATTTTCTGGTACAGATTAGCAAAAATTCACCCCAGACAATAATCAGGAAATCTTCTAAAGAATTGAATGTTAAAAATTACTTGAATTACTGAATTACTTGAGACTCATTCTTGTTTTTGTGTTTGAAGGCCAAACACTTTCATGGCTTCTGTGTAAATAATTATTTTGATAGGGAAAGTGAATACTTAAATTTACTTCAAGTAATTATTTTAAATTAACTTACTTAACTTTACATAAATTTAAAATTTACATTAATTTTACTTTTCCAAAGTCCTACCTGACTTTGAATTGCCAGGATGAGCACGTCTTCAAGTGAAAATACTTTATTGTGGTAGTAATTATAACTAATACTTATATAGTGCTTACTGTTTGAAGTATTATATTATTTAATCCTGATAACTTTGTGAAGTGCATGCCATTTTTATCTCCATTTTATGCATGGGGAAACTGAGGCATGGAGCAGTTTAGTTCTCCCCAAGTCACTTAATAAGTTATTAAGCCAGGTTTCTAACTCACAAGAGTCTGTCTATGAGTCTGCACTTCACCACAAAACAGTACATAATACCCGTGCCAAAGAATACTACTACCTGGTAATTTTTTCAAGTCTCTTTTCATTATAATGTTTTTGATAAGAAGAAATTAAACTGAGAGAAGTCTTAGAATAAGAAGTAAAACTTATTTCAAATTTAGAGAACAGTATACTTTTTTTAATGTGATAAAATTTACATAGAGTGAATTGTACAGATCTTATATATACAATTCAGTGAGTTTTGACAAGTGTGTACACCAACATAACCCACAACCCATTCCAAATATAGAACATTGCCCTCAACCCAGAAAGTTCCCTTATTCCCCCTCCAGTCAGTCCCTACCTTCATCCTCAAACAATGCTCTGTTTTCTAGCAACATGAATTGTTTGCCTGTTCTCGAGTTTCATGTAAGTGGAATCATACAGTATATATACCCTTTCTGTCTGGCTTGTTTTGCTCAATATATGCAAATAAAATCTATTTAGAGTATTTTCTATTATTCAGTCATTTCATTTTTTTTTTCACAGAAGTCTCGTTTTTCTTTATTACCTTTTTCTTTACCCCATTCTTGAACTATGTAGTAGTAGATCAGTTAATGATCTACTTCCTCCTACACAGTAAAAAACATCGAACATTAAATGGGGTTATTTTCAAGGATGCTATTTCAAAATTAGACCATGTTAAAATCCTAATTTAGTTAGTTTCAGGAAATAATTAAAATACATACCTAGATTGTAGCAAAGACCTGTATCATTCCAACAATTTTCAGTCTTAATAAAACTTTCCTCTCTGGATTTTCTGCTTGGCTGATAAAATATGAAGAACATTTTTCTTGTTTTCTTGAGAGGCTCCATCCTAAATGCCCTAGGAGAGTTTTTCTTCTTGGCTGCAGAATCTCATTCTTGATTGTGAGACTTTGCTATTTGCAGAGTCCAGATTGTGACGTCCAGGCATTTGATTGGTAAATAAGCTTCTTAGAAAGAGGCCTTCTATCCTTAGCTGATTCCACATGATAAAATGCTGACTTGTTTCTTAATACGTTACAGTTTGACAAGGTTGCCAGAATGTCTATCCAGATACAGTTTTATCAGAGGAAATTCAAGCCAGATTGACTGTAATGGTTAGTTCTGTGATCAAAGACCATAACAACTGCCAGGTTTACCTCTAGGGTTGAAGTTCACTGCTTTATCATATCATATCTTTTTTTTCCTCCTTCAAATGATAAGAAAAGGTATCTTTTTCTTTGATAATTTTTCTGTCATGACCAAGAGTTCTTTGTCACTTTTGAGATTTCAGGAGTTCGGAAGCAGTTAATGATCACGCCATAGTATTGATAATTAGTAAGCTTGGGGAAATGTAGCCAGTGTTTTAAATATTTTAGTCATTTGTAAGCAAAAAGAGACCTTTAATATATTTGAAGGGTATTAAAGATGGTTTTCCAATCTTTGATTTCCAAATAATTCTCTTTTTTCAGAAGTTACTTCTTAACATGTCTCTTTGTTACTAATGAAAATGAGAGATAACGTAAAGATTAAAGTCGTTAAAATTGTGAATTTTCTTATCTTTCAAAATTAAAAAAGAAACAAAATGAATTGATTTTTTAAATTTAGTTTTATTGCATAAAACTAATAGTTGTGACTATAAGGACTGTAGTTGTGAAATAACCAAAAGAAAGGCACAGGAAAGGAAGAAAGATTGAATAATCCACCAATTATAAACAGTCTCTGCTTTTATAAAAGGACATTTAATACTTGGGTAAATTTGGAAGTTTCCAGTGTTGGGTAACAGTGGTAAACTTAACATGAGTAATTATCAGGGAGATAAATAGTTAAGCTGTTCTTGGCTCTGGTACAAAGTTCAGTATTCTTCCTAAGAGTCCTAAGGGACACTTAGCTAGTTCAACCCAAAAGCAACATGTGTGATGTGAGCTCTTCTGGGACTGACTCTGTTGCTCTGCCTGATTCAAACTGGCCCATAAAGCACCCTCTTGTTTATCTCTTTTATTTCTTACCAACTTCTTCAGTAAAAATGTAGCTTTTTTCTATTGTAAATAAGTAAAAGATAAATAATAAGTTAATATTTATTAATAGGATGCAAACTGTAGAATTTGTAATAAATAAGTTAATATTTATTAATAGGATGCAAACTGTAGAATTTGCTGGAGAGATCAACTATATATAGGTAAAACAACTAGATAGAGTTATGTTGTATTTCTATGAGATAGTCCTGGGAGAAAAATTACTGGGCCAAAGACCTTTGAATTTTCTCAGTGTTCCAGCAATTTCTCTTCTGGGACTTTCCCATAGAAAGAAAAACACCAGTACATAGGGCATAACAGTACCAGGATATAAGTGTAAAGATTTTTTTATTTTTATTTATTTATTTTATATTGGTATCATTAATCTACAATTACATGAGCAACATTATGGTTACTAGACTCCCCCCATCATCAAGTCCACACCACATACCCCATTACAGTCACTGTCCATCAGTGTAGTAAGATGCTGTAGAATCACTACTTGTCTTCTCTGTGTTGTACAGCCCTCCCCGTGCCCCCACACACATTATGTCTGCTAATAGTAATGCCCCTTTTCCCCCCTTTTCTGTCCCTTCCCACCCACCTTCCCCAGTCCCTTTCCCTTTGGTAACTGTTAGTCCATTCTTGGGTTCTGTGAGTCTGCTGCTGTTTTGTTCCTTCAGTTTTTTCTTTGTTCTTATACTCCACAGATGAGTGACATCATTTGATACTTTGTCTTTTTCCGCCTGGCTTATTTCATTGAGCATAATACTGGCTAGCTCCATCCATGTTGTTGCAAATGGTAGGATTTGTTTCTTCTTATGGCTGAATAATATTCCATTGTGTATATGTACCACATCTGCTTTATCCATTCATCTACTGATGGACACTTAGGTTCCTTTCATTTCTTGGCTATTGTAAATAGTGCTGCGATAAACGTAGAGGTGCATATGTCTTTTTCAAATTGGGCTGCTGCATTCTTAGGGTAAATTCCTAGGAGTGGAATTCCTGGGTCAAATGGTATTTCTATTTTTAGTTTTTTGAGGAACCTCCATACTGCTTTCCACAGTGGTTGAACTAATTTACATTCCCACCAGTAGTGTAGGAGGGTTTCCCTTTCTCCACATCCTCG